ACAAGGGGTTTATACGTTAGGGGTGATATTATAAAGAAACGATGTAGCAATTGTTCTACGGATTGAACTGAGAATCTAGCTAGGCTTGGTTTTATTATTGTTTTAGTTTGCAACAATTTAAGAATTTTAGGGTTTAAGAATTTTTTTCATTAAGATGAAAACATACCTTTGTTATAACTCCGTTCACTTCGTGTTAACAGAGTAGCTTTTTAGAAATGTTTTACAGAGAGTTTGGTATATTAAAGTCCAATGTAAAGGTTTGGTATTTTTTCGAAATGTTTTCAAAATTGGGTGGTTTTAACCTTTTTTTCTTAAAAAGTCAGAATCATTGGAGTTGGATCCATGTCTCAAAATAACATTATTTATCTCTCGTTGACATGTTCTTCATATGCTATAAAACTAATTAATAACTCGCAGTGTAACTTACCTTATCTGCATATGTTCTTCGAATGAAAACTATGAAGGTAAGGGTCAGCTATATATGAAGAGATGGAGTTGACTTAACTTAATGTCCCCAACACAAATGACTAATTTTCTATACCAACTTGTTAGAAGCATCTTTTAGGAAACTCTCTATTCTTTTTGCTTTTGGCACAGAGAACAATAAACTTTGTCGATTTTTCGAGTAAGCTCTTAATATGTTAAAATACAATATAAACCCAGTCGGATAACAAAACTTTGAAATGACTCTTACTTGTAACCAAAGTTTCCTGTTCGGAAGAACCATAATTTTGGCTAAAGGAGAGATCATTTTGTATTAAAAGGTTAGAAATTAGAAGACGGCTCCTCAAAAAATCGAATTATATAATGTAGTGAAATCATTAAGTTCTATAAATAACGGTTGCTATTGCAAATCTTAGAAAGTTAAGGGTTTGTAGACATATTTGCTTTACTTTATTTTGGAAGTTGACAATCTAAGGGTTTAGCTTCTTTAACTACTGTCCACTTGATCATAACGTGACATAGATTAATATTTCAGAACTTAAAAAGACATCAAGGTAGTTAATTATCCTCCAAAAATAGGAAAAATGGAGAAGTATTTTCATGGAGTTTTATGTGTGTCCATCATCACATTTGCTTTTATACATGTTGTTCAGGCTCAAGATCAGAAAGGTATTAGATACTATTATCTTTTAAACTTTCAAATTAAGAAACCTCTGCTTGTGTTTTCATAATTTTTTTTTTTTTTTTCCCTTATTCTCATTGATTCCTTGTTTTATTAGGATTCTTTTTTTTTTGGTTGAATATTGTATTAGGATTCATCACTTTGGATTGTGGTCTGTTACCTGATGGGTCTTCATATACCAATCCATCTACTGGATTAACATTCACTTCGGATTCTAGTTTCATCGAGAGTGGACAGAACGGTCGAGTCAGTAAGGATTCAGAGCGAAACTTCGAAAAGGCTTTTGTAACTCTGAGATACTTTCCAAATGGAGAACGGAACTGTTATAACCTGAAGGTCACAAAAGGAACAAATTACTTGATTAGAGCATCTTTCTTATATGGAAATTACGATGGTCGTAATACTCTCCCAAACTTTGATCTATTTATTGGCCCTAATAAGTTGACAACGGTGAATTTTAATGCAACCGGAGGTGGTGTGTTCGTGGAGATGATTCACATGTCTTGGTCAAGCACTTTGGATATTTGTCTTGTTAAGACAGGAACAACTACGCCGATGATATCAACCTTGGAGCTACGACCATTAAGAAGTGATACTTACATTAGTGCCGCTGGGAGCTCCTTGAACCTCTATTTTAGAGGATATCTTAACGATTCAAGGACCGTATTACGGTAAGTAAACTTTAATTTGTGAAAGGGATGCCATAGAGTAGGAAGAGAAATATAATGAGGAAAGATAAAAAAAAATAATTTGAATCTTTCTTTGATGCCAAACACCTTTGAGGTTTTTTCTATATATGTCTAATACAAGATAGTTATAGGTACCCCGATGATCTCAACGACCGTAGATGGTTCCCATTCTCATATGAGGAGTGGACACTTGTAACTACCACTCTCAATGTAAACACTTCAAATGGTTTTGATCTACCACAAGGTGCAATGGCATCGGCTGCAACACGTGTGAATGACAATGGAACATGGGAATTTCCGTGGAGCTTAAAGGATTCTACCACACGGTTTCACATTTACCTTCACTTCGCAGAGCTTCAAACTTTGTTAGCCAACGAGACCAGGGAATTCAATGTTTTGTTGAATGGAAAAAATTATTATGGACCTTTTAGTCCTAAAATGTTAAGTATAGATACTATGAGCCCCCAACCCGATTCGAAATTGACATGTAAAGGAGGGAGTTGCCTCTTGCAGCTAGTGAAAACAACAAAGTCAACTCTTCCTCCTCTCATCAATGCTATTGAACTTTTTACAGTGGTTGATTTTCCTCAATCAGAAACAAACCAAGAAGAAGGTGTGTAAATTTACATTTTTATACATATGAATTGTAGCTTTGCATGTGTTTGATTCTTGATATATTATTAACTATGCAATGCCAGTGATTGCTATCAAGAAGATCCAAACTGCTTATGGATTGAGTAGAATTAATTGGCAAGGAGATCCATGTGTCCCCGAACAGCTTTTGTGGGCTGGTTTGAAATGCAGCAACTCTGATAGTTCCATTCCACCAACAATCACTTTCTTGTAAGATTTTCAATCACCGTATCGTAATTAAAGTAAAATTCTCTATTATAAGTATATCACAATTGAAACATTTTCATGAACGTATCACTAGAAACTTGTCTTCAAGTGGACTAACCGGGATCATTGCACCTTCCATCCAGAATTTGACCCATTTACAAGAGTTGTAAGTATCACACAAACACATGAACAAAAGCAAACATTTTATGTTGTCCTATGTGATGAAGCATTTCTTTTTAAAAAATTAAATGGCAGGGATTTGTCAAATAACGACTTGGCCGGGGATGTGCCCGAGTTTCTAGCTGACATAAAATCGCTCTTGATCATGTAAGTCTCTTAGACAGTACGAAACATAATAATGTGTTTTAACTTTTAACTATTCCTATAAGTTCTCTCCTTGTATAATATCTCTTTTTATACCTTAACAGAAATTTAAGTGGAAACAATTTTAGTGGTCAACTTCCTGAAAAGTTTATACAGAAGAAAGGATTGAAATTGAAGTAAGTATTTATTATACTATCTTCAGTTGATGATTATCATAGGTTTGATCAAAAAGTATATTGAAGTTTTAATTCATAGTGTTGAAGGCAACCCTAAGCTTCTTTGTACAAAAGGACCATGTGGAAACAAACATGGAGTAGGTGGACATCCCAAAAAGAGTATAATTGTACCGATTGTCTCATCAGTTGCTTTAATAGCTGTTCTTATAGCTGCATTGGTTTTGTTTTTGGTTCTTAGAAAGAAAAATCCATCAAGGAGTAAAGGTACTAATTTGTGGCAAACTCACAAGCTCTGATAAGTACTATGCACTAGAAGAAACTACAAAATCATACTAAATTTTGCGTTGCAGAAAATGATAGAACCTCAAGATCATCCGAGCCACCAAGGATAACGAAAAAGAAAAGATTTACTTACGCGGAAGTTACTGAAATGACAAATAACTTTAAAAGTGTTCTTGGGAAAGGAGGGTTCGGTATGGTTTATCATGGATATGTAAATGGTACTGAGCAAGTTGCTGTTAAAGTACTCTCACACGCTTCAAAGCATGGCCATAAACAGTTCAAAGCAGAGGTACTTATAACACCAAAATATTAATTTATGGACTATAGATTTGAAAATTTTTGTGGTTTTTTTAGGTTGAACTTCTTTTGAGAGTTCATCACAAGAATTTGGTAAGCCTAGTTGGATACTGCGAAAAAGGGAAGGAATTGGCTCTCGTCTACGAATATATGGCTAATGGAGACTTAAAAGAGTGTTTCTCAGGTAAAACCAAATTTAAATATTATATCAGAAACCTAACCTTAATCCGTTGTCGATCCAACAAAAACATGTAACAAATCCTTCTTAGTCATAAGCTAACGTCCTTGTTAAAACACACAGGGAACTGCGGTGATGATGTTTTAAAGTGTGAAACTAGATTACAAATAGCAGTGGAGGCCGCACAAGGTTAATAAAGCTTTATGAACCTATTCCTTTTCTCTTAAATACGTTGGTTTTATATGATAAATAATGGTCCAAATGAATTTGTCACACTAGGTTTGGAGTACTTGCATAAAGGATGTAGACCACCAATTGTTCATAGAGATGTCAAAACCGCAAACATATTGTTGGACGAACACTTCCAAGCCAAACTTGCCGACTTTGGACTTTCGAGATCATTTCTAAATGAAGGAGAAAGTCATGTCTCAACAGTTGTGGCAGGAACTATTGGTTACCTAGATCCAGAGTATTTCACACACATCTTTGTTTTATTTATTCTTAAATTCAAATGATCAAAAAAAATTCACCATGCATATTTTACATAATGTCTTGCAGATATTACAACACAAATTGGTTGACAGAGAAGAGTGATGTGTATAGTTTCGGGGTTGTTTTATTGGAGATCATAACAAATCAGCCCGTGATTGAGCAGAGACGTGAAAAGCCACACATAGCAGAATGGGTAAAATTAATGATTACCAAAGGAGATATTAGAAAAATTGTAGATCCAAGTCTCAAGGGAGAGTACCACTCTGATTCTGTTTGGAAGTTTGTGGAGCTAGCAATGACTTGTGTAAATGATACTTCAACGACAAGACCGACCATGTCTCAAGTTGTTACCGAACTAACCGAATGTATAACTTTAGAAAACTCAAGGGGAGGGAAAAGTCAGAACATGGGTTCAGTGAGTTCGAGAGAAGTGACCATGACCTTTGATACTGAAGTGAACCCTGTCGCTCGCTAAACTGCGCAAGGAAAATATCGGTTGCATTTCATTATGTACATTCACATAAAGCAAAAATAAATTTTCCGTGATTTCTTTGATTTTTCTATTGCTAAAGAAGATAAATTTGATGAATTCCTTCTCAAGAACCCACGTATGCAACTCTATTGCTATTGACACATTTTGACGATTCATGTTTCTCATCAACATCCTCAAGAACCCACGTATGCAACTCAAAGTGAAGCCTTCCACCAGAGTCGTTATACGTCAAATTAATAGCAACTAATTTACCCTTATAGTTCATCAATTGCGAATTATAAAAGGATTCCACCTCAATAAACTTGAATATCTCAGACCTAACATCAAAGCAAACTATCACATGCGTTTCATAGTACTCTTTGTCAGTTCGTACAGCAAAGTAATAATAAACCCCATTGATGCATATCCCTTCATGCCCATCCCTATAGCTTAAGGGACGACATTGGATCTTCCTCCATGTCAATTTTTCAGTTCCTAATGTCATAATATAATGAACCGTTTCATTATAACATACAGAGTTCATGCGGAATACCTTATGATGCTTGTCAATCGGATCAAATACTACAACGCTTCTCGACACTCCGTACGACATCAGTTTAGGTAAGATCGTATACTGTCCCGTGATAGGGTTACATATCACCTCCTCTTTTGAGATCCACCTATCAGAGAAATGGATCAAACCAGACGAATATCTACAAATGTATTCGTTTATGTCTTCAGAGAACTTGGTATGAAAATCGGTGGCTACTACAAGAGGCCACTTCTCATATAGATTCTGAGGATGAGGCGACGAGAAGAAGAGCCACTCACGGTCTCTTTTGACAGCAAATAAGACACGTGGACGAGCCGAAGACCTGGTCAAGAACAACTCAGTGAAATATGGACCGCGAATCATGGACCCCCATAGCCTGGACACGCAACGACACCTCCCAATTGACTTTGCAGGTAATCTCGAGATTATCTCGAGAAATAGATCACAAGGGGTAGAATCTAAAGTTCTTTCTCTATTCATTTCTAAACAGACAAATACTTCATGAAAACAAATTGCGGAGACTCTTTATATATTACTCCCTCCGTTTTCGAATAGTTGTCGTTTTAGAGCTTTTTTTTTGTTTTAAATTAGTTGTCGTTTTAAGGTAATAATGTAATTTATGTCAATAACTACCCAAATTACCCTCATTTTATTGAACACAAATTATTTGTAAATAATTACTTGTCATTTTTATGAGGTTAATATAGTTATTGTATACATAAACTTAATTTGTCCAAATACAGTTAAAACGACAACTTTTAAAAAACAGAGGGAGTATATGGAAAATCTCTCGAAGTTTGACCTAACTAAGATTCTCAGCGCTTACGTAAGGCCCAAGAAGCATGGGCTTTAACCATCCAAATTTATTTATTTTATTTATAGTGTTGATCGAAGAATATTACAGTGAGTGAATTTTACTGATTTTCTCCAATGATTGTTTTCTTGACTAAAGAGGAGTATCTACTTGGTTTAGCAGCAAGAAGACTGACTTTGGGAGAGGGGATCGTAAAACTCCTTTGTTGATGGTGTTCAATGTAGTTTTGAGTGTGACGCTGTAATTAGAAGCAACTTAGGAGAGCTTGTTACTTAAATCCAAGAACCTTGCAAATTGTCATAAGCATTGTGTTGGTGGAGTATTTTCAATGTAGTCTTTCATTGTTGTTACTCAAGTGGCTAGTGATATGATTGCTCAAGCCATTGTTTAATAGATCTAAATAGAATGAAACATTCAATTCCTGCCGAGATCTCCTCTTCAAACTGCTCAGGCAATAGACAAGTTGATCGCCAACCGCATCACCTCCTGCACATCTACTCACACAGACGGCGACTCTACACTACTCAGTCGTTGGAGTCTAATCTCCGCAGTCCCAAGAGATTAGTGACTTTATCCTCTGTTTTAGTGTATTTAGAAGACTATGGTATAAAATTACATTATTTTTAAAAAACATTTTGTGTGAAATATGTCAAAATTATACTCTTTATGAACTGTATATATGATTAAAACTATAATACGAATTGAAACCGATTATCTTAAGCTATCTCAAACTCAACTATAAACTGGATTGAACACCACTAACAATTTTCAGCATTTTTTCTACTATATTTGATAATTAAGAACATATATGATATTTAATCATATCTAGTTTATAGTATTATTATTAACAGGATTGGACTAATATATTACAGATCAAAATTTGATTAGTCTTTTTCATTTTATGTTACACAATATGTAATTCACGCCTAGCTACTATTATACAAGCGTGTATGTGTCAGGTTTATACACTTATGTAAGAATCATGGATCCTTCAGCCTTGAAAGAAAGGTACATTGTGATCAAACTCACTGGGCCGAACGCAATCTGATTTCATCCATCCGATTCTCTGTTTCACGTTGTCGTACACGATCAAGCGTCCACGCATCGATATATCTGCAATAACAAAACAAAAGATGTAGCTCATAAGTTCCATGTTGCATAATTGTGATTCAGACAAGAAAATTTTGGGTTTTACAGATAAAATGTTATTTTCTTTACCTCCAATAATAATGGTGGAACCATCATGAACATTGCTTCCATCTAATATCCCAAGACACACATTTCCTTTGTTCTGCATCATTAAGACAATAAGTATGCACGGAAACTCGAATATATATAGCCAAATCGAAATTGAAGAAAATTGCAATTGTTAAAGCTTATAAAAAAGTGCTTACGCTGATGATCAAGTAATCCTCGGGTTGAATCAAAAGTTTTTTCGATATGATTAACCATTTGCTCCCTATTTGCAGAGTTATTGGTCTGAAGAACTTCTTAACATCCGACAAGGAACTGCATATTATCGAAACCAATAACTCTTTAAAAATATGATCTTTCCTTCACCACAGAAATCAAAATGGTTTTACAAAAGATCAAATGTTCTCAAATTACCTAATTGGGGAGTTAGTTTTAGCTCGCCAGCAGATAGGCAGTGCTTCGTCTGAATCATCGCGTGTTAATTCTAAATCAGAAACTTCTTGAAGCTTTCACCAACAAAAATAGTAAAACATCATTGACCAGAAGATTTTCATCTAAAAAAGGTTGAGATTAGTTTCTGAATTTGATTACTTACTGATGTGACCAATTGAGAGTAAGCCTGGTTAGGGAAGTATGTATAGGAACTTCCTGTGTCAAATAAGACTTTCCCTACTCTTCCGTTTTCGCCATCTAAGCTAAGCATAGCATTCCCATAGCTCATCTTTGTAACTTGCATCTGATAAACTTCCCTGAAAGAACCCAAAAATGTACATTACCTTAGCATATATGCAAGTGACAAAGATTGAAGCTTTTGGGAATATACCAAAATATATTCAAATAAGCATCCAAACCAAGTGATTCTAAGCTACTAGGTTTCACAGAATATGCTGGTATTCGTTAAGCACTTACAAGTGGGGATGGTGAAGCATAGGAACCCATGTCATTCCGTGTGATGGAACCAAATCACTTCCCATGAAGATATATCCTTCACCGTTTAAATCAGAGGCAAGGCAATGGCCAACCACATTGCTGATAATACCTCGGCTTGCAAGTTGAGAAGGTAAGCTAATTTTAGCTCTGCTTAGACCGAGAATCCCGTCTGTCTTTAGCAGAGTGTTCAACAGTAGTCCTTGCTGATCATATCCGCACCTTAAAGTTCAAATCACGAAAGCCAAAGTCACAACATGAAACACTCAGATATTCCGTAACAAAATAAAAAATTGTTAACAGAGAGTGAGGTTTACCCGAAAACTATATCTGACTCGGCTAATGATCCGTTATGGAGTTTGAGATGAAACTTATCTTTGGTGAGAACTCCCATGGAGTAGCTATGATCAGCATATTCAATCTCATAGTCACATTGATGACAACTCTCACAATGTTCTGTCAGTTGATTCCTTTGGACTTCTACACAAAAGGGCTCCGAAGATCTCACTAAGTTATCTTTTCTAGGCTTATATAGTTGATTTGCTCCCTAAATCCAGAATGTTCATCAGCAATTTCACAGATAAAATTTCTCCTAAACTCTCAAAAACTGGATCTTTACCTTAGCACAACTAGTACAAGGCGCATCACATTGTATCCAAGTCAAGTCACTTCCAGTATCAATATCAAGATGATAGTATTGTCCATCTTCAGGCTTTCCAACAAGAATGCGTGTATAATACAGCCTACAACAATAGCAAAAGAGACAATCTTTGGTTTCTTGTGCTTTAAGGAACACACAAATTTCAGATTTCAAAGTGTTAAATTCAATGCATACATACCCATCAGGATACACATTACCACCGACGGGAAAAATCGTAGTGGAGGAGTCAATAGAACCAGCACTTGTAGATAAAACATCGTTGACTTTTACAGGGTTGACCAACTCTAAATCCATTGACTCCACAAACTTTCCATTCTCTAAACCTAAATCTTCCGCTAAGATCCGTTCATGGAACTCTCGAGCTCTCAATTTGTGATACACAGGGAAAACAAACGACGTCGTTTCACGGGAACTATCGTCATCACGGTTCCTCTCATCAGAAACCCTAAACATTTGAACAGAGTTAGGAAAAACAGAGGCGTAGAAAGCAACCGCGAGAAGAGAGAATCCGAGAAGACCCAGAACTAATCTCGGCGAACCCATTGAGAGATCCGAGAACAAGAGGCGAGATTGTTGGTTTTGGTGAAGTGGGTCGGGTTGAAAACTCGGGTTTGGGTTATCCTCCGGTGGGATTTGTAGTGGGTAATCGTGGTCATTGAGAGTGAAAGCAGAGATTGTTTTGCCTTGTGAAGGATCATCGGATGGTGGAAGAGTGATTATGACTACGCTGTGGAGTCGTTGTTGCTCATGAAGATCTGGTTCCATTGTAAGATTTCTCCGATCGAATTGGGCTGGTTTTGATCGGAGATAGAGAATGGAAATAGGAAGAGAAAGAAAATTGGTAGAGTAGGAGTGGTCCAGAGTCAAGAAGCTTGTGTTATACGAGACGGAAGCTGCGAGGAAGGAGAGGGTTTATTTTATTTGATCTAATGTTTGAAAAATAAGAGTAGACATATCTTAAAAAAACAACATTATACCGCCGACCAAAAAAAAAAAAAAACAACATTATACCTTTTTTTTTAACTAAAAACGTTATAACTTTTTTTAAAAAAAAACCCTATAAATGTTACCTTTTAAACCCTAAAAAATGTTATCTTAAAAATAAGAGTAAACATATCTTTAAAATATTTATACTTAATTTTTTAAAAACCCTATAAATGTTCTCTTTTTTAATATATATATATATATATGGAGGACAATATTAATAGTTTTAGTATAAGACTTTAAAGTTTTAACAAATTTTATGTTGCTTACTTTACATTTCTTTTTACCTTTTTTGTCGATTAGATATATTTTATTTAACTCACAAAAAAGATTATAATGATACAAAAAAAAAATTATATATATATATATATATATATATATATATATGTGTAAAGAGTTTTAGAAAAATACTACTCCATCAAAGTCTTTCAAATCCATTTAAAAAACTTTTTTTATTTACATTATAGTCCACAATATTAACAATAATCAGTTATAATGATAAAACTTTCATAAATAAATATAAAATATACAAAAAAATTTTTTAAGTCAAATAATTTTTAAAAATAATATGTTAGCATTGTATTATGAACTTTATTTTATGAAATATTTATGTCTTCCTGTAATTTTATTTTCCTGTGTTAATTTATTTTGGGTGTTTATGTATTTATTTATTTTGGGTGTTATTCCCTCTTAGACATAAGAACTGAAAAAATAAGAGGACCCCGAGAAAAGCTTGGAGTTTCTTTCCGGACATATAACATAAACAACAAACCGGCATTACTAGTTTTAGGAAAATCCGAGATGTAGTATCTATACCATGGGGTTAATGCAGATATAATAACAGAAGCTAAAGTATAAGACCCGAAATGGGTGCCATTTTAGTTAGTTTTTAGAGTTTGG